TCCCATTAGAGAACAAAAAGAAAAGCCAATATGTTACACTTCATATATTAGGGATTTAAACCAAATTTCCACCCTGTTTTGAGGCATCTTTGAATTCAGGCATTTCAAAGCGGTGTCCAAATACCTAACAAGTAACTATATAACAAATATTGAAACTCAGTTCACAGATAAAACTTAGTATGTGAAGCTCTACTAAACTGAGAGATGTCAATCTTCTCTTGGAACAATGCATAGAATAAAGGGATTACCTTTTTTTTTAAATCACTTCCTCTAAGCACGCTAATTAAGCTTATTTAAGTAGTATAGTGTATTCTATTTTAGTATGAGATCCATTAATGCTTTCTTGAAACTTAATAAGGATCCAGTAAACAACTACTGAATGTAGGTAAGAATATTTATTATAGTATTTTTAATTTTTTCTGTACTTTTGAAACTTTTCACAATAAAAAGCTGGCAAAGCCCTGGCCAGTGTGGCTCAGTTGGCTGGAGTGCTGTCTCGTTACACCAAAAGGTGGTGGGTTTGATTCCCGGTCAGGGCACATACCCAGGTTGTGGGTTCAATCCCTGACATGCAAAAGGCAACTGATCAATGTTTCTCTCTCTTTCTTCCTCTCTCTAAAATCAATAAAGTAAAATGAAGGAAAAAAAAGTTGGCAAAAAAGAAACTAAAAAGGGTGGCCAAGAAAACCATACTGAGCTAAAAAAGTAAGGCTTCAGAAACATTAAAAATGCTAAGCTTCACAAAGAGCTTAATCTGGTATTGTATATTTTATATTTTATAAATTAAAAAATGTATTATTCAAAATCTTTGGATCCAAGTCTGTGAGGAGACTGACATACTGTACTTGTCTGGCTCTCAGCCTGTGATCTTTGACAAAACATTTACACATATTACAGTTTCTATCCCCACTGTACAACTGTTTGGAAAGGTATCTAATGATGTGTGAAAATTATTTACAAAGTTTTTAAGTACTCTGTATCAATGTGTTAGTATACTTCATTCTGGATTTTACATACTGTTCCATAACTTATTTTATCAAAACAGGACAAAGTAAAATAAGATCTCCAGTATCTCAAAAAAGGAATATTAAAATTAATATATTGCATATTGTGTCTAAAAATAGATTATCTGCCCGGGCCGGGTGGCTCCGATGGCTGGAGCATCATCATCCAGCAACCAAAAAAGTTGCAGGTTCTATCCCCAGTTGGGGCGCGTCCAGGAGGCAACTGATAGACCTTTCTCTTTCTCTTTCTCTCCCCCCGCTTTTCTAAAATCAATAAACATCCTCGGATGAGGATTAAAATAATAACAATAAATAAATAGCTTATATAATTGTTATGTGGCTCTTGCAAACACCATACAAAAGTTAACTATGCATCCATGTAAGACAACAGTAGTTGAAATTTCCCCCAATATATTTCTAATCGATTCCTGGGAAGCCAGAGGGCTGGTCCAGTGGCTAGGAAGGGCCACCCACTCAGAAAGTTCAGTGTTTGGACTAAGGTAACAGTCTCAAACACAAAAACCAGGCGATTACCTAGCTACTCCAGGCCACGAAGAAAAGCTGTTTTATTTTTCCTTTTCTTCATTCTTTTATCTGTACCGCTCTTTCGCCTTGGCTCTTGCCTTTGTTCATTCTTTTAACTCATCTTCCCCATATTTGTTTCAATGAAGACAATCTTCTGATTTCCTTATTCTTCTCTTATTCCCCACCTTCTTTTTCTTTCCCTGTTCTACTTCTCCCTGTGACACTTAGTAATCACCCAAGATGTTGTTCTATAATCCTGTAAGTCTGCAGCATAAATCAGTAGGGTTTAAGACACCCGCTAGACAGGATACCGCCATCCCATTTACGTACAACTACTGAAAACTCTATGTGGGTTCCAAAAGTGTTGAATCCCATTCTCTCCCACAGAGATGAATTCAATTTGAATAAACCGAGTGTCTGGATTGCAGGTAAATATACATACAGATGAAATTATTCTCCTAGTCTCGTATCAATCAGACCCAGACGTTTATCTTTACCTACTCAGAGTTCAAATCTACTTCATTTAAGTTCAACTACTGACTTCTGCAAAGGTTTGAAGAACCAGAAATGTCTGTTTTCTTTTCTCCCAGAAAAACGGGTTTAAATGAAGGTGGCAAATTCTTATCCCTAAAACAAATTGTCTTCTTTACAACCATAAATTTAGCAATCACTGACCTAAATTATTATTGCAACAGGTTGGTACCTAGTAAAAGCTTCTATCATCTAACTCTGTATGTGAGGATAAATCCAGTTTTCAGAAAGTGCTGCCAAAGTCTAGCATTCAGTAGGTAACTAGCTAGATTTACCTAGATAAAATTATTTACATAGTATGTATCACTGCACCAAGTGAAAATAGGCATTTAAGTACATAACTGATAAGTACTACCTACCAACTAATAAGAACTGAGATTACTGGAAATGTAATTGGTACGAACAATGTTCCATCTGTTCAGTGTGGAGTGATATACACATCTTATTCTACAGAATACGTCAACTTGAAAGCTAATGGTGCTAAACTTGAAGCAATTTTTAGGCTGGCTATATTATACTATGTTGCTACTCTGTGCTCATATTGAATACTGCAAATGTGCAGGGTACAAAGGAAAAGCTCTGGAAGCTACTGCCAAGTAGGATATACTTGTGGTGCTTATGTCACAGAAAATACAATAATTTAAACTATCAGCAAAATTTTCAATTCAGCCTTTCCTTAGAAATGTATGTATTTATATCTATAATGGAAGTTAATTAAAAGAGTTCAGGTTATGGGAATTTGCTTTATAGAAGGCTTAACTGGAATGTAGCTATTCTGTATGTCAAAGGACACTTGTATTTGGTTAACTGTAATAAGAGGTAGGCATAGCACTCTATTCTTCTAGTACTATTCTAGTTATCTAGTCCCAGCCCTAAGTAATGACAACGGCAGTGCCTTTCATGAATAACAAAAATGGATAGTCCAATGTTCTACTGATATTTATAAAGCTTAGATATAAGCCAAAAGTCAATTCCTGCCCTAAATTTAGAAATACAGCACATTTACAAAGATACTGTTACTCTAAAAAGGTATAATAAATGCCTTATAAAAAGAACATAGAAAGCTGACATCATACTGAAGTTGGAGAGTCTTTCCATGCAATTAGCTTTTATGTTTTTCTTAAATTATGAAAGTAATTTGTGATGATTATGAAATTCAGAAAATACAGGAGAAAAATCTTAATTCCATTAGTAAGGAATAACCACTATTATTATTTTAGTATATTTCTTCCAATCTTGTGTGTGTGTACACACACATATTTTAAGAAAACTGGTAGCTTAACACAATTTTGTATCTAACTTTTTTCACTTATTTTATCACATGCATTTCTCCTATCATTATATATCCCTCTAAAACATGCTAGTGTACCTTATGAATATGCTCTTATTGGTTATTTTTCTGGTATCATGACACTTAAATGCACATCTTGTAGAAAAGTCTTGGTCCACAGCTCTATTTCCTTAGACAATTCCTTTAAGTGTCTTGTTAGGTGGCTCAAAGAGTAGGAACATTTTTAAGGCTCTTGAAAAGATTGCCAAGATTCCCTCTAAAAAGGGTATACCAACTCTAACCAATGATGTATGAGTGCACCCCACATCTCCATGCAGTTCCTGACCTTACAACAGAACCATGCTTTTATAGAGCTTAATAAAAAACCAAGACAAGGCATACTTTCCATATCTATCCAAGTTTAAAATATAAAAGTGTAAGGCAGTTAGTGTTAGTAAGCACTTAACTTTATAAGTGAAAAAAACTGACATATATCCCTTCCCCCTACTCCCGCCAAATGGAGATTTCTCAATTGTACAGCAAGCTAGGCACAGGATAGAAGCTTTCTAATTCTTAGATCTTAAGCACTATCCAGGAAGTGGGTCAAGAACCTAGTGCCCTCATTAAATGGAGAAGTTTAATCCTGGGCTCTCTAAATCCCGTGGTTTTTACAATTTAGGTGTAACAGGCCTCTCCAGTGAAAGGGAAAGAACACTGAACCTACTTCTGAATACCTACGTTTAAGTACTAGATTACCCTTCATAGAGTAAGGATTTTCATAGTACCTTCATAATGTTCTTGGAAAGATAATGTGTAGCAATCTCGTAAACTGCTAAACTATACATATATATATATAAAAGGAGGTTTAATCTCATATGTTTACAAACCCTGAAAACTGTAAATACATTTAAAGTGTTATGTTTGAGCATGAGTGTATTAACCAAGAAAGGTCCTAAAAGAGAGCTGGATTCTTGAACTGTAATTTCAAGGGAAAGGAAAGCAAGTATTACATAGGATAACAACTACAAAGCAATTTCATGGAAATGGGCATATCTGAACAAAAGCTGCAGCAGAAGTAAAGCAAGGTAACCAACCTATCATAAATGTAGAAAAAGAAGAGAATAATCTGGTGTTATGGAAGGACTTAGCAGGGAGATTCAGTACATCAGATGGTGCAAATAAAAGATGGTATTTTTAGGGAAAGATAGGAGAGCCTGAAGAAGTATCTTCTCATTGTGCAAGACAGATGTATTACCCCTTAATCAACAGCTGCATCGCGTTCTACCAGAGGGAGTGCCATGTAAATGAAATTCTGCTTTTAAAATATCTATTACATAGTCAGAAAACTCAAGCCCTGCTGTACAAGCTCTATCAGCATGGCATAAGAGAAGGAAAAAAACAACTTACAAAAAACGAAATAATGCTGAAGCCTCCTCCCTTTTCCTTTGCAATATAAACCTCTAGATTATAATACATTTCAGGTAATTGCCACAAAGAATTTCCAATCAGGAATCTTTTTTTTTTTTTGAGTTTTGACAAAATATTAAAAGACAAAAGTCACCCATTTTTTGTGTAAAAAGGGTACATTTTACACAATTTTAAAAGGTTCTCGGCCTAAAGAAATTGGGTGCTTTTCTTTTTTTAATGTAGGGAAATGTGTTGTAGTTTACCTCTGTCCCTGCAAGCAGGTGTGTTCTTCAGGTTTACTATTTCCCACAGCAAAGGAACCCGGTTGGTTTTTTCCCCCACGTTGTAACTGACAAAGGAGGCTACTGCAAATAAAGAACAAAGAAGAGGGTGTTATGCATTAATTCGCACAGGATTCTTAGTCTTAACCCTCAGTTCTTTTCAATTGTCCCCCACAAACGAAACCAGCCTGCTAGGACCTGGTGAAAAAGCCAGGGGAGGCTGGAGATTTCTGTTCTAAGGAGCTTCTCGGTTCTGATTCACGGTCGCCTTCTCTTTTCTAGGCGATAGCGACGCGCTGGCAGTGGAGTCGAGCATGCTCCGCAGTGCAGCAGGTTTTCCCGGGGAGATCCACGCGGCCCCGGGACGCCCACCCGCACGCCGCTCCTCCGCACACCCTGTCCCGGTGCCTCGCTGCGGGCACCGGAGCTCCTACTGAGCTCTCCGCCAGCTGCCCAACCCACCGCAGGTCCCCGCGCTGCCGCGACAAGCGCCCACCCGTGCAGCAGGCTCCAGGACCGCTCACGTCCTTGGCAGGAGCGCGGCGGCCGGTCCTAGGGTCGGACCTCCTGGGCCGCGGAAGAGGCCGGGCCTGGAGCCGCGCGGCCGCCCCCTTCCAGCGGCGGGGACCGCGTTACGCGCCCGGCACGGCGGCAAAATGGACTCGCGGGGCCCATGGGCTCCGCCCCACCGCCCTCCTACCCGGCACCTCGGTCCGCCTCCCGGCCGGGATTCGCCCCCGTTCGGCCTCCCGGGACTTGCCTTTCCCAGGGAAAAGGAGCGGGTGAGGGGAGGCTGGAGTCCTTCCGGCGTCTCTAACCGCCCCCGCCGCG